TTGTATATATATATATATATATATATATATATATATATAAACAATATTATTCACATGGTTATGCACTAATAACTTATTTTTATCTGCTATTAACTGTTTTTTCCACCTGTCTGCAATCTTGTCTCCTTCCCAAAATATCCTGTTCCTTTTAACATTAATATATTTTCATTTTGCAATGGAACACACTATCTTATCTGTTCCCCCAAACTAAAAGATAACATAATTAACTGACATATTTCCCATTCCCAGCATCTAATAAAACTCTTGTGACCAAGGAGGAATTTTTTTTCAGGGATCTCCCATCCAAAAATTTTTTCCTTATTGAAAAAGGCCATTTGAAAAATACAACTGAATGACCAGAATTAGTGATAACAAACAAATGAAAATATTCCAGATGAAGTTCCTCATTCTTCAGAGACAGTTATTGATTCCTGTAGTTTTCACTGCTACTAACAAGTTGGGATATTTTTCTCCTGGTCATGGCTATGCTGGCAAATTAGTCAAGAAGGATTAATTTAAATAAATAAAAATCAAAAAAATATTAATATACAAATTTTCCAGTGTATCTAGAAATTTAAATTTTTCATTGTTCCTGTAAATATATATGTTTTGTTTAAATTGTGTTTGTATATATATATATATATATATATATATATAATTTTAAAAATGAATATACATTATTTCCAATGCCAATCTTATGAAAATGATTAATGCAAAAATCAATTTTAACTCAGAATAAACAATTTTCAACTGATTTTGCTTTTTAATTTTTAAGAAAAAAGATTTATTAATATAAACTGGTAGGTCTGTTTGTTTTTTTTTGAGCTGAATGTTTCCCCATACATGTTTCAAAGATGGAGATATATGTTTTAACTGCAATTATATTTGATATGTAAAAAATAATATTTATATATAAATATTGAAGAGGTTATATATTGTATATATATATTTCACAAACATATTCTGCTGTATATATATATATACACAAACAAAAGGTATAGTCTGAAAAAAATAGACAACAAGGATGGTTCCACCTCCTGTCTATGTTGCATTTTCCTCTAGTGTTTGGTGACTTTAATGTCTGAATCAACCCTTTTTAAGGCTTAAGAATTTCATACTACTTTCCATGCAGGCATTCAAACGTTTTGGCTGGGTAAATAATTCAATTTCCCATTCCCTTATTATATCTTAACTTCCCCACATTCAAGTTTTATTTTCATTACTTGGATCCAGGTAAAGCCTCTTTTAACTCAACCTATTGTTTCAGTCCATCCCAATATTTTGCAGTGCCTTAAATCTTCCTAAAAACAGTGCCTGATGAATGGATGTTCCCTTTTGGTAACTCAAGGACCATGCAGTCAGATTATTAATATCTCCTTTAACTCCATCCCAGATCTGCAAAAATGTAACTCCCGACAATGCCTGCTTAACTGTTCTATTATCAATGAAAATCATGATTGGAACCCTTTCCAATGATTTCCTCCTTTTGATTTGGAGAACCAAGATCCCCAAAAAATTTCCATGTGCTTCTGAAAATTCTTTTTTCCTGGGTTAAAGCTTTTTATTGACGCTTTCATCCCATCAAGGAAATATAGGGTCAAGTCTTTTTCCTCCCCCTATTCAATGCTTTTTGCTCAGCCATTAAATCGCCCAAAACCATCAAAAGTTAAGACATCAAATTGAAAAAACTGACTGCAATAGACGTTGATTTACCTCCGCATAGAATGAATGTAAGCATGTCCTCAATGATTATAAGTCACTATTTCCTACAGGATGAAGAAACCCCTTGCATCTCCAAATTTTCGTGAACCATCATCTCTCTAATAAGTATTCCATTTTGAACAATTTCTCCCAAACCCTTTATTCCTCCTTTATTCAACCAGTTCAAGTCCATCAAGTATTACCCAAGAAGCTTTTTGCTTTGCTCCCTTTTCATTCAATTTGTGTCCTGAACTCTTCCGGGTGTACCCATAAGAAGTTACTTTCCTCTTAGAACATATAAAATATTGACCTTAAACATAATCCCATCTTTGGTACTAGGCATTATCTCTAATTTTGATCCCAACAAAGCTAAAAAAAAAGGTTGACGGGATACCAGCCATTGTTATCCTGAAGAAAAGTGCCATCTAACTTTCTGTTGATTCAAAAACTATTCAACTTTGCCTCAAGGAATCTTTTTTTCCTGACTGCTGGAAATACCAATTTTCCTGTCTTCAAAACTCCATTTGGTCTCTGACCCTTCCAACTACTGGATCATGTTCTTCCCTTTTTAGCAAAGTCTTGAATTCAATCAATATCCCTGTAAATAACCACCTCACATCCCATAATCTGCTCTGACAAGCTTATGGTTTCATTCTGTTTTTTCCAGATTTTTTGATTTTCTGACAAGGTATTTTTTCCCACCTCAACCGAGTCTGTAATGTAATGGGTGTGCCCGAGCATTTTTTTTGTATAAAAATATCTCCAAAGCATTTTTTATTTATCTAGTTGTATTTTATTTGTTTTGTTTATGTTTTTAATTTTTGGGTTGAATATTTATAACCTAATACAATCATTCCTTCAGACAAACCGAGAATGGCTGATCTCGTTTTCATTCCTTTCTCCTCCAGTTTTTCCCATGAACCAAGAGGTGTCCAGTCATTCACACAAGTTTGTCAGTTTGGTAGGCCCCACTCTATTCCTTATCTACATAAATGACCAGGCTCCAGAGGCGGATATGCAATATGGTTGGCCCTGCTCTGGCATCTCATCTACAGTCACTTTCTCACAGACGCGCCGTCACCTCTCTCTGTCTGTTTTACAAATACTTTCATGGCAATTGCTCCGAGGAGCTGCATTCACTGGTTCCCAGACTTCATGAGTTCAAGCGCCCTACGAGGCTGGCATCCCGCTCTCACCCCTTCACTGTCGAAACTCCTAAATGTAGCCGTCTCTTCTACTTCAATAGCTTCATGTCTCGCACCTCTCGCCTGTGGAACTCCTTTCCTTTTCCAGTTTCCCTGAGAGCTATAATCTCCAGCTATTCAAATGTAATGTCAATCGACATCTCCAGTTGCCTTGATCTATCCACTACCCATTTTCTCCTCATCCTTTCTTCTTGCTATCACTCCTATCTGATCTTGCTCCAAAAAAAAAAAAAAAAAAAATATATATACTATTTTCTATATATATATATAATGCATCCTAGTGGCTTATTTTTGTTTATGTGTGTGTGTGTGTATATATATATATATATATATATATATATAAAAAAAATCATTTATCTTGAAAAGCCTTTTTACCACCAGTCTTTAGGAAGCTTAACCACTTGGTAGTAGTGGTGATAGTGTATAGTGGTGGGGGGGTGTGCTGAAACTTTAGATAATTTACACCACAGCCTGTTTGGAACTGTTTGTAGTACTCCATCTACATTCCCTTCTTCAACTTCATTATCTGATTTGACATCAGCTTTTAACTCACAGCTGTTTCCCCACTTGATTGTTGAATGTTCATATTAGTTAGAATTGTAGAAAGAACATGACACTTTTGCTTGATAGATTCAGGGTCAATGTCATATTTTAGTGTACCAAGGGCACTTTTAAAAAATATATCTCCATATTTGATATCTTTGCCAGTTACTGTACACAGAGTCATCTACAAATTATACTCATTTCTTTTATACATTATCTCCAATATTATAAAGCTTTGATGCATTTTGTCTCACATGAGTACAAAGCACATGGGACAATTTTTCAAATGACTCATATTCAAAATACATTTTCTAGCTTAATGCATTGTATTGAAATTATTGGTGACACTTTCACAAGGAGATACACTCTCTGGTACAAGAAACTGGTCACTGGCCAGTAAATTAGAATTTCATTAATAAAAACATTGATATTATAAATGATTCAAGCATCAAAGTATTAACTTGCATTATTTAAAATATTCTTTCCAAAGTATTTCTATATGTTTCACATTACTTCATAGGAATTGGACTGCTCTAGTCTAAACAAGTCAAGTCTAATTTATTACTTGAGAAAATTAAGAGACTGAATCACAAAATCAGTTTAAAAATGCAAGTAAATGTATACCTATGCACAGTTATAAGAATTTATTATTATGTAAATCTTCTTAAGCTAAAACTTGAAGGAGGAATTTACTCTATTACCTGTAATAATTGCCACAAGGAATACATTGGAGAAACCTCAAGGAATTTAACCCTAGAGCACTAACCATGGGTATATAGTACCCAGCACAAATGATGTCATTGAGCGTGCATATGGTTCCCATGTTCTGAGGGGTCCCAGCTGCTTAGTAGCTTCAGTTGCCCACTTGACAGTGTAGAGGAAGGTTGTGCAGTCTTGCTCTCTCTACTCCCCAGTGCTGTAGGTCTGCGTTTGGGTAAGGTATACTCATGGTTGGTGATAATGCAGTGTTGTGCATGGCAGGTATAGGCTTCCCAGGATAGTGTTTACATACTATTTTAGTCATCAACAGTGGAATGAAAAACAGGATTATGAGGCTGTGTAAATAGTGATTGTGTGTTACTTATGAATTTTACCTTTTCAGATTCCAGGTTTATTCAAAATGGCTTTGTGATGAGCTTGTTGTACACTTCAACACAGCTACCATTAGATCTAGAAAAAGCTTTATGTAGAGCACTAGGCCAAATGCAGGAGCAGTACGTACTCCTGCAAGAAATATATTACATAGTGTCTGGCCTGGCCCCTCCCAACAAGCTTCCCAAGCCAACATCCCAGAAAAGTGTTTCTCTTCGTTGTTTGTGGATGAAATCATCAGTGAAATATGCAGCAAAATACAAGCATCAGAAGGCCACAATACAGCCTACAACACCTGAGGAGATACGTGCCATGTTTGGGGTCCTCATTTTTAGTGGCTACAGGAGAGACAACCACTAAGGAAATCTGGAGCCCTAAAGTTAGCTGCTCTGTAGAAATTGTAACTATGTCTGAGAGGCACTTTACTTTCCTCCTCAACTACCTATGCTTTTATACCAGAGAACAGCAAAGAGGAACTGACAGGTTTGCTCCAATCAGGAAGGTGTGGGATATTTTCATTGAGGCCTATGGCATCCATTATATCCCACACGAGTTCCTGACTGTTGATGAGCAGTTGCTTGCCTTCCATGGCCGCTGCCTCTTTCACATGTACATCCCAAATAAACCAGCGAAGTACGGCATCAAGATCGTTATGGTAAATGATGTCAAGAGCAAGTACATGCTGTCAGGGATCCCCTATCTTGGGAAGCAGTGGACACGGGCAATAGACAGGCAAAAGCTTGGTCACTCCTTCACCAAGGACCTGACACAGCACTACCACAACACCAACAGGAATGTAACAACTGACAATTGGTTCACCTCTGTGCCCCTCATTAAGGATATGCTGTATAATTGTGGGATGACACTGATTGGGACAGTCAGGGGAAACAAGTCAGAGATACCAGAAGAGATGAAGGACAAGACCACATGGGCTCCAGGTTCCAGTGCCTTCTTGTTCACGAAGGTCATGACACTGGTGTCATATGTGCCCAACACCCCTTCCAGCAAGAAAATTGACCTCCTCATGTCTTCAATGCATGGAGATAAGTCCTTGGCCAGCAGTGGAAAGCCAACCATCATCAATAGGATGAAAGGAGGAGTGGACATTTTCGACCAAATGTGTGGTCAATATTCATGTGGCAGGAAAACGAAGAGGTGGCCACTCTGTGTGTTCTATGGCATGCTGAACACTGGGGATCATCAACTCTTGGATCATTTATGGGGAAAATATGCAAAAGACAGGTGGCAGACTGATAAAGAGGAAGCAGTTTATGCAGTTGTTGGCTGAGGAACTGGTGAAACCCTGGGCAGTGTATCGCCTCTCAAGTCACACTCTACCGAGGCAGCTCAAGAATCATGTATGCACTGTTTTTGAGCTGCCCACTCCCCCTGGACCTTCAAGAGTTTCTGGACTACCTGCAGCAGACATGAGGGAGTCCATGGTGCACTGTGTTGTCTGTCACACAAAGGCAGACAAAAAAACACACTTCCAATGTGTGTCCTGTCAACAAGCTATCTGTCCCAAACACTATTACACCATGTGTAGCAACTGTATATGAGGTCAAGATAAGTAGAAATTCACCTGAAGACTTTATTTACTTGTACATAACAAATAAATAGTCAGTTGCTACAGTCATTTTAGTTACAAAAATTAGTGCTAAAAAGTGATTTTTGTGGTAGATAAAATAAGGCCTTTATCCACGTCTCGTCCCTACAGAAGCCTCAGCAGCTTGGGACCAGTACCCCCTTCAGCAGTGGCTCACAGAACCTGGAAAGCTGTATGAGGAGTTTGGAACTCATCAGAGGATAATTTTTATTTATTTTTTTTTTTTTTATTTTGAAAAATTTTCCTATTTTCAATTACCTAAATAATATGTTTTTCAGCTCCTATTAATGTTAACTCAAAGTACAAAGTTTGAAGTGCCTGCATATAAAATATTTCAAATAGAGATTTATATTTAATAATTTCTTTTATATTTTCAAAATCGGGTATGATATACCCATGGTTAGTAGTGATATAACTTTAATTGATGGTTAGTGTTCTAGGGTTAAATAAAATATTATAGGAGCACAAAACGGATATTGAACAAAAGAACACACTAAATGCATTAGTTGCTCACCATAAAAGAGACTGCATAATTAATGCAATATAAAATTATAATTTTGGCACAAGGCCAAAGGGAAATGAGGCTGGTCATCATTGTGTGTCCTAAACCTAGCTAATCTGATCCATAACCCATTTATCTATTACAATTTACTCAATCACCACAAGAATTCATCTAACATAGACCACAATACTGCATATTCATAGCGATCCTAGTAAAACACCAATGAGATAAAAATTTCACAATGTATACAAATGTCTTTCTTAAAAATGTTTACTCTAATTAAAATCATTTCTGCTACGTACTAGTCTTAAATGTAGTAAATTCATTTTTTCAGAACTTATTTGGTCACCTCCCATAGTGCAGTGAATGAATCCTAAATCATTATTTTCTCAGTTCATTCTTCCTTGCTTATGCTATTGTATTTTTATGATGGACTAAGTAAATATAGACATTCAGAACTTATTTGGTCACCTACCATAGAGCAGAGAATAATTCCTAAATCATTTTCTTGTAAGTTCAAACTTGTTTATCTTATTTTATTTTTACACTATTCAATTATTAAGCTCAAGTTACATTTGATTTGATATTTGTAGATTCTTAATCCAGTTAAATGAAGAAAGCTTTTGAAATTTTTGATCCTTTTTGTAAAACAATATTTTAAACACCTTTAAATATATTCCTATCTATTCATATAGAACATGAATTTCCTGTATTACTATTTTGTATCTTATCAAATACAGAAAAGATATTTGTATTTTCACTTAGTCTTCTTAATCTATGTAATATACAAAATAATCAAGGAAATATATTCCTGCCAGTGATTTATTTATATATATATATATATATATATATATATATATATATATATTATGCACCAGTATACTAGATATTTCGGATATTATACATTTTATACTCACACACAACAAATTCCAGTTCAATGAGCATGGTTTTCTTCAATTTTTTCATGGATACCCTTGAACAAGATATGTTTAAGAAATACTACCTGTCACCCCTACTCTACACTACCACAGGTACATAGATGACATCTTCATATGGATAAACACAGAGAACAATCTCTTAGACACCATAATAATTTGCATCACACCATCAAATTTAATATGGAATATTCTACCACTTCCATTCCGTTTCTCTACAAAATGGTACATCTCAATAACAACCCCATCTCCACTACACTATACACCAAGCCTACTGATGGTCATTGCTACCATCATTTCAAAAGTTGCCACCCCACCAACCTAAAAAAATCTATAATCTACAGCCAATGCTTACACATTAAACACATCTGTTCTCACAAGATTACAACATACACATAAGACAATTTTGCAATCACTTTCTTAATAGGAATTATCCACCCAAAATAATCAAAGAATCTATCACCAAAGTTTCCAAACATAACAGAAACCCCCTCCTCATCTATGTAACTAAAAAGAAAAATTCCAGCATCCTCAGGGTCTTTTATTTTAATTATAATATCCACAAAGATTTCCAAAAATAGACAATACTATTAGTAAATTATTTAGCGATAACCCTTTACATGCGATGTGACAGCACCCCCAACCTCTTCAGACTTTTAACATCATCAAAAATCTGCAATTCCTCACCTCACCAAGGGAATGTCATCTGCAACAAACCCTAGTGACTGGTCTGTAAAAACATCATCACTCAACACATTTACAGACACACGCAGTACCTGCATGGTATTTAGACCACTTGTGCTAAGCAGTGACAGTTCCAATCTCATATATTTACTTTTCTGTCACAAATGCAATTATGTGGGATAAACCAGAACAATTTTGTTTATGGTTCAATAATCACAAGAAAAATATCAGGGACAACAACAACAATTTCCTGGTCTCTGTACACTTCAACCAACCTGGTCATAGCATTGATGATGTTGGATCTGTGCTTTTAGCATCTTGGTTCGGTAGCCAGTAGGACAGAGACACATTGGAGTTGAAGTATTTCCTAAATGTAAATTCCCACATAGAGGGACTAAATAGAGGTTTGGCTTTACTTTTTGCAGATTAAAGTTGGTTGGAAAGCATGGAACTGGAAGGGAGTTCCACAAGAAAGGCAGTAAAGCCACTAAGACACAAGGGGTTACAGGGTGTGGAAGAATTAAGAACTGAAAGATTAATAATGAGTGGAAATAGAAAAGAGTAATCATGAGGATAATAGGTAGCGATTGACATTGCATTTAAATTTTTGCGGATTAAAGTTGGCTGGAAAGCATGTAGACGGTAAAGAGTTCCACCGAAAAGAGTTCGCAAAGTGCAAGAAAAGTGACTGTTAGCATAGAATTTACAGCTATATCTTGCCATCTCAACTGTAAATTGATGAGATCTTGACACCAGTCTAGTACTGCGCTTAAATTCATAAAGTCTAGGTACCAGAGCGAAGAGCTCATTCACATAATTATCATGAAAGTATTTATAGAAAAGACAGAGAGAGACAACCTAATGGCTGTGGGAAAGTGATTGAAGCTGAGCTGCCAGATCAAAACCAATAATATTGCTGATATTTCTTTGGATCTTATCTAGGAGGTCAATGTAACTATCAAGGGCTCCTGAGCATATGTGGCAGCAATATTCTATGCATGTATGAATGATAAACTTATACCTATGTAAAATAGATTCTGGAGAGATATATTGTCTCACATGACACAGTGATCCAACTTTCTTAGTAGAAATGGATTCAATATAGTCTTTCCACTTCATGTCAGCTGAGAATCTTAATCCAAGAAGGCTCAATCACTTTCCTGGAGGTTAGCATCAGCTAGGCTAATGCAAGGCAGATAGGGGTCTCTCAGAGAATCTTAGTTTTGAAAATGTCTTCTGTTCTCAGCTCTTACATGCATGCAATGAATTTGCCTAAAAATTGTCTTCGACTTCCCCATTGGTGATCATAGATTTTAGAAGTGTAATGAAATGGGTGTACTAAGTAATGTTAATAAGAAAATACTTGAATTTTTCATATTTAACATGAAATTTTATTCACTCCAATACTTTGTCAATTACTCTCAGCCAGTGTGTTCAAAATGTGGGGCTTTACATTCTCCTTCTGCAATCTGAAAGACTTTCTGACTCCCTTCTAGAGAAGTTGTCTATACATCTATCTGTCCAACAGTTTTCTCATCTGCTCAGACAACATGACAAGTGACAATCATATTTTTACTGAATGTACATCCATAGCCCCTGTAAGACATAAATACTAGAAGGAAATCAACCTGAGAAAACTATCTGATAATACTGAAACCATTAACATAATGTCCTACCTTTAAAGAAATAGGTTTATACCAAAAACTATAAAACACCTACAATATCCCATCTACAAACTATATATCTATAAAATCTACTTTTACCCTGAAAGTATAAAATTAAGTATAATTTTTTGTAGTTGAAGCCATAAAATTGCATACGAAATATTTTCATTTCATCATTAAATCACCCATAGGGGTTGATATACCATTAAACAAAAACAGACAGCCTGTTATATGCTTGGGCTCAATCAAGCCCACAGGTGTTCACCTTTAGGGTCGCCAATAACAATGAATCAATTATGGATCTCTACTCTTAGATGAGATCATCTCAAGTCAACCTTTCACCTAGCCTCCTTAATAGTCAGGTATGAAACTGAATGCAAAGCCTGTTCTTGTATTGTACTACAGACATATTAGAAAAGATGCAAGATAACAAGATATGTTAACCCTTTCAGGCTTTACTTCTGAATTGAATCTTATCTCTCTGGTGCTCAGATATTATAAATGCTTCTTTTTCACACATAGTTGAAAATTATCTGCTTTGATATCTGGAGGTTGTTTTCTTCACAAAGCATATGTGTTGAATGAATATTGATTTGGTGGGTTGTTTAACTTGAGTAATATTTTACTAAGTTTTGCAAGTTATTGATAAGTTTTATCCTTAACATGTCTGTTACAAATATAGCTTTGTGATAAACTATGGTAAATAATTAGTAAATACAAGTAAATAATTCTGAAATACAATTCTATAATTAAATAAATTATTATTAAGTAAATACTAATATAAAATAAAAAGTTTTATGCTATTCAAGACTTGCTTTAAACTAATCAATTTGTTTTCCTTGATAAAGAATTGCCTGTCACTTGCTTTGATTTTGGTCTCATATTGACTTTTAAACT